GGGGGAGGAGTTGGGCGGTCAGTATCTGACGAATGACGGCAACATTTCTTTTAAAACATTTCTTCTAGCATACATAATAGTTTTATTTTCTAGAAATTTCTTTCTTAAATCTGCAACAAAGAGTTTTTTTGATAGGAAATAAAATATATCATTTATATCTTATAATTGGCACAAATATGTCCAGTATAATATAACACCGTCCTTTTGTATGGTGACTATATGTAACTTCTTTCGGAGATACGATTAGCAACTGATACGTGTGTCAAGAAGTTGAATGAGTTTAGTATTCATTCCGAATTTCAAAAGCACAATTTAAATTTTCTTATTTTTTAATTTCTTTTATATCTCTAAGCACAAATTATTCTACTTAAAAATCATAAATTTATGTTTCTAGTTGTAGCTATTTTATGATAATTTCAGCAAAATCACAATGTTAATCCTAACGTATGAAGTCATCTTATATCAAATCCTTTTGCTAATTCACCTGGATATGTAAACCAGATCAGACCGGCGTGTTAGTTACGACGACCATGATCGCTATCAGGGGTGGCCTTAGCTCAGCGGGACTGCACTACCTCTCACCGGTACTTCACGTTTAGCCCCCTGGGCATCCCCATTTCAGTAAAGCCAGAGCACTCGCATGTACTGTTCTATCCTATAATATAGTAGTCTGCTATATATGTAGGTATGTCATGTATACAATGCTAAGCTATGTCATGTATGCTTTGTTATGATATGTATGAATGTTATGATTTGCTATGCTATGCAAATTATGTTTGTATGTGTGTAGGTAGGCTATTATATGCATTTATGTATGCTAATATATGTATGTAGGTATGTGAGCTATTATATGTATGTATTTATGCTATTATATGTGTGAATGCTATATGTATGTATGCATTCATGCTGTTATATGTATGTATGCTAATATATGTATGTTTGTATGCTATAATAGGTATGTATGTATGCTATTTTATGTATGTATGCTATATGTATGTATGTATTTATGCTGTTATATGTATGTATGCTATATGTATGTATTCATTTATGCTGTTATATGTATGTATCCTATATGTATGTATTCATTTATGCTGTTATATGTATGTATCCTATATGTATGTATGCATTTATGCTGTTATATTTATGTATGCTTATATATGTATGTGTGTATGCTATTATATATATGTATGCTATATGTATGTATGCATTTATGCTGTTATATGTATGTATGCTAATATATGTTTGTATGTATGTATATATGCTATTATATGTATGTATGCTATATGTATGTATGCTATTATATGTATGCATCTATGCTGTTTTATGTATGCATGTTTACTGTTATATGTATGCTGTTACATGTATGTAGGTATGCTATTATATGTACATTTGTATGCTTTTATATGTATGCATGTATGCTGTTATATGTATGTATGCTAATATATGTATGCATATATATATGCTATATGTATGTATGCTATTATATGTATGCATTTATGCTGTTATATGTATGCATGTTTACTGTTATATGTATGCTGTTACATGTATGTAGGTATGCTATTATATGTACGTTTGTATGCTATTATATGTATGCATGTATGCTGTTATATGAATGTAGGTATGTATGATGTTATATATTTGCATGTGTGCTGTTATATGTATGTATGTATGCTATAATATGTATGTTTGTATGCTATTATATGTATCTATGATGCTATATGTATGTATGATACTATATGTATGTATGGTACTATATGTATGCATGCTACGATTTGTTTAAAATTCACCAATCTTTCCAGTTAGATTGACCTCCTGTTACACACGAATTATGTGCCTGAAGTGATTAAAAAATCTTGAAAATCTTGGTAGGTCGTCTACTGTTTTCATTATGTCAAGGAACTGTGTGTCACTGTCCTGCATTAAGAACCCCTCTAAAACATCACAGGCTTGATTTCGCAAATTATATCTTAAATTACTGTACAGTTTGCACTCAATTATGAAATGTTTTTCGTCTTCGACTTTATCCATGTCACAATGGATACACTCTATCATGAAGTTGAATGGGCGGCCTGGCATATCTTCCAGTCTCCACTGCTAGCGGAAGACATCCGGCGCGAAACTGGGCTAGGTATCGCCTGTTGGTTCGTGGAATGTCCGATTTCACATAGTTCTCTGTGCCGATATCATTTTTGTATTGCCTATATGTTCTGAGTTTATTTCCGTTCACGTTATTATTGTCGTTCCATAGAACTCTTTGCCACTCTGTACTATCTGCAGCGCGTAATTAATTCACAAGATTTCTTATGACAAATTGTGTAGAAAAATTCACATTATTCACTAGATTGTCCGTATCTATATTGTTCCTAAAGTTGTTAACCGTGAAATACCATCCCTTCCGATATGTGGATGATCATCTCGTGATCCTACTGATTAGTTGACTGTCGTCGATTCTTTTGATTTTACACATCAGCCTTAAGCATGTAATCTTTTGTTTTGCATGATAACCATCCCATGTCTCCGCGGGTAGCTGCGTTAGATGCATATTTTCCAACAGCTAAAAAGAATCTGCAAGCNGCATGTGTGCTGTTATATGTATGTTTTCATGCTATTATATGTATCTATGATGCTATATGTATGTATGATACTATATGTATGTATGGTACTATATGTATGCATGCTACGATTTGTTTAAAATACACCAATCTTTCCAGTTGATCTGCCAATATAAATGTATTCGAAGATTGACCTCCTGTTACACACGAAATATGTGCCTGGAGTGATTAAAAAATCTTGAAAATGTTGGTTGGTCGTCTACTGTTTTCATTATGTTAAGGAACTGTGTGTCACTGTCCTGCATTAAAAAACCCTCTAAAACATCACAGGCTTGATTTCGCAAATTATATCTTAAATTACTGTACAGTTTGCACTCATTTATGAAATATTTTTCGTCTTCGACTTTATCCATGTCACAATGGATACACAGTCTATCATGAAGTTGAATGGGCACCCTGGCATATCTTCCAGTCTCCACTGCTAGCGGAAGACATCCGGCGCGAAACTTGGCTAGGTATCGCCTGTTGGTTCGTGGAATGTCCGATTTCACACAGTTCTTTGTGCCGATATCATTTTTGTATTGCCTATATGTTCTGAGTTTATTTCCGTTCACGTTATTATTGTCGTTCCATAGAACTCTTTGCCACTCTGCACTATCTGCAGCGCGTAATTAATTCACAAGATTTCTTATGACAAATTGTGTAGAAAAGTTCACATTATTCACTAGATTGTCCGTATCTAAATTATTCCTAAAGTTGTTAACCGTGAAATACCATCCCTTCCGATATGTGGATGATCATCTCATGATCCTACTGATTAGTTGACTGTCGTCGATTTTTTTGATTTTACACATCAGCCTTAAGCATGTAATCTTTTGTTTTGTATAGCATGATAACCATCCCATGTCTCCGCGTGTAGCTGTGTAAGTTGCATATTTTCCAACAGCTAAAAAGTATCTGCAAGCTTTGTTCTGTACCATATTTATTGCTGCATGTTCCTTGGTAACCCCAAATGGCACTTCCATACATAAGAACCGGTTTCACTACCGTGTTGTATAGTTTGGTGAATACATAAAATGACATTCCTCCCAGAGAGATATGTTTTCCAATGAGTGCACCAAGTGCTCTACTTGCAGATTTTGCGAGCTCTTTCACAGCTTTTTTCATATAAAAGTGCTCATCCATCCATATCCCCAGATACTTATAGGAGTCCACTATTTCCATGTCCTGTGCACCACAGTGAAACACAGCGTTTGTACAATTTACGCGGTATTGATGGATTTTGGAAATGGACTATCTTTGATTTGGCTGGTTTTACGTATAGTTTCCATTCGTTGCACCATTGAGAAACGATGACGAGTAAACGTTGAAGTTTGGCTTCGTCCGGCTCGATTACACATATATCATCTGCGTAGAGAAGTATACTAAGGATGACGTCATCCACTGGGATTCCACATCCTGCAACATTGATTTTTTTCAGCTAGATCATTGATATACACAGAAAATAAACTGGGCGAGATACTACAGCCCTGTTTCACGCCCGACTCCACATCCAACCATAGGGTATGGTCGTTATTTACTCTAACTGTACTTTTTAAGTTAGTATATAATGACTGAATCGCCGATAGAAACTTCCCATGTACTCCGGCACGACGTAGCTTATACCATAGGATATTACGTTCCACTGAGTCAAACGCTTTGCGCATGTCGATGAAGCATACATTTTCCTAGTGTTGATTACGGAAGATAGGGAGTGAAATGGCCCTCGCAGCTTCTCCCTTTCCTGAATCCATTCGTCGCATAAAACCTCACTCTGTTCCATCCAGGTGCTCAATCTGGCACTTAAAACATAACAATAAATCTTGCACGGTACTGAAATCAGAGCAATATATCTAGAACATACAAGATAGTGTTTCCTTCTTTGTTTAACTCGAGCGGTTGACATTTTATCTCCAGCGTTCTATTTATTTTCCCGAGCGGATATAACCGACGGAAAAAACCCGCCGTCTATATCCCCTGTAATCATGATTACGAACAATACATATTACGAAGCTTTATATGATAAACAATAATATGGAACGATCTGGACTACTTAAACATAAATTAAATATTCATTATTGAACAAATTCCTAAATTTCGTGTTTTTTTTTAAAAAGTAGACTAACATTGAAATATAGAAGAAATTTATTTGAAAAGAATTTTAAATGCAGGTTATCGAATACATAATGTTCTCATGACGAGCAATACTGTATATAACTGTTATACATGAACTGAAGCTTTGTCCACTCTTTCTAATTTACAAACTTCCATAGTATTTTATAGTAAAAAAAAAAAAAAATATTGAGAAAAAACTTGACGATTTTTATATGGATTTGTTTTTGAAAATCAAATACTTAAAGTAGGAAGCACAAACTTTAAGTAGGGTTTGGCTTTGGCATGAATTTTATATTTGTCATTTTTACGATTGTTAATCCATTTCAGATAACACAATGAACCAATAAGGAAAAAATTGACACATCGTTATAAACAGCCTGGAATTATATTAGTGCAAGTATAATCCTGCCATTTCCATGTTATACACGTAATTTAAATATAATCTAAATCCCCCTCCCCTGATTCAATAGCATTTAAGACCAATTTGGGTTTCCCTTGTTTTAGCCATAGCATATTCTATGAGTCGTAAAAGGACAAACCAGCTGTAAGGTGTAGTGTAATTAATTTTTGAATACCTGATCTATTTACAACAAATTCAAAGGTGTAATCACATGTGTGTCTTATTTCCATATTTCCCTTATGAAATAACCAGACAACTAGCAAATATAAGCATTAAATGAGATACATGAATGCAAAATTAAAAGCAAAGACAAAAACAAAGTACTGCAACTCTTAATTCGAGATTTTTGTTTTGGTTTGTTCAAAAAGGGGGTTCAGAGGGCCACCTAGCATTATTTTAAAGTAAATACTGAGATTATTTAATTACAAGAGCAATTGAAAAATATAGTCTTCACTAAACTTCGGACAGAGGAAAACTATTTTGTTTCAATATTCGCAAACAGAAGAATCACATAGAAATTATATTGTCCCTATACTTTCTAAATGAGTAAACAAACATAATTGTGGTGCCATTTCAAGATACATGAAGTAAAAATACATGTTAACGAAAGTACAAAACATATATAGAACCAAAGCAGTCTTATAAATGTCAGAGATGTTAATAAGATGCGACCGTTTTTTGTTGTTGATAAAATGCCTTTATTTCTTCTTCAAATCAGTGACGACAATAACAATATCTTTCCAAAACTAAGGCGTCTTTATGACGTGAAACACAATATGACTGTCCGGCATATTTGTTTAAGCGTAATATATCACCAAGCAGGATGAACTCTTGTTTAAAGTATTGAACATTTGCCTCGAATACAGCATTACTCGGGATAACCGTGACCTGTATCACAAACTCCTCCTTTGATGGAGAGTTTATAATTACTTTCCGAGAACTTTTGTAAAATGATCTCCACGCATGACGAATAGTGCTCAGAGTCAAATTGGAACATAAATGTGACACATTAACAAGATTTGTGTTGATTTTTTTGACTAGCCAATTTGACATATCCTTTACAATCTGTGATTTAGTTGAATAATTCTCAATTAGTGATTGACAGACACAGAAGTGACTCGGTATTTTAAGGTCACCACAAGTTCGGTTCGTACTAATATCTCTGAAAAGACTGGTGCCATATTTTCCGGCAACCCTCGGTGTCACGTGACCTCTGCCAAGTTCAATGACGTCATGGAGAGTGGCATAAACATCAACGTTACTGGTTAATTTATTTTTATTGGCTTTAAGGTTTTCATATAAATCACTATGTTCTTTACGAAACCAGTGTGGAAGAGAGACATAAAATGCAGGTAAATTTTCCTCCAGTCGACCCTGAAATGTATTCCTAATTGGCCCATATCTGCTGCCATGGTCACCGAATATCATCAGTACGGTATTATTGAGTAATCCACGTGTATTGAGATCAGTCAATGTCCTCATCAGTGGCAAGTCTACAACACCTAGCCCGTTAGGGTTATCATGCGTCGGATTACTTATAAACGTGAAAGTAAACTGAGGAACATCGTGGTAGGTTTCGATGAAATCAGTCAATTTATCAAATATTGACTGTAATACAAGAGTGTTCCCTGAGCAGAGATGACGGTTTACGTTGGTCCCCTCCAAGCTCCTTACGAACGGCCGCATGTAGTAGTCCACAGGGGCCCTTTTGAAACCCTTACGTAAATATTGAAATACTGCGGTCGAAGACGCATCCTGTCCCAGTAGGGTAACGTAGCCGGCTCTCATAAAGTCCTTCCAGATCAATGGATACTCGTCATAGAACCCTCGAGTGTCGTTCATTTGTTCTTTTGTAATTCCCAACAACATAGCAACTAGGTTCGGAAACGTATTCAGCCCTACTTTGTTATACCCTATCAGTTCCACGGCCGCCATTGCATTTTGAAGAAAATTCTTTGTAAAATTCATATGCCGGATGAAATTCAAGCGAGATGTGGATTCCAAACCAATCATTACCACATTCATTCGTCTTTTTGCTGATAGGTTCATTCCATCAGTGATATTACTGACCTCCTGTCTTAATCTTATTAAAGTTTCATTTCTGATCACAAACGCAAAATGTTGTTGTGTAAGCTTCGTGTCGTTCGTATCAACGCAAATTACCAAACAAAATTCATCAGTGACTTCAATGAATTCGGTAAAACTTAAAAATTTACCTTGCAAAAATTTCACTTTTCTGTCAGTACCAATCTGTTTTACGTAAGGCTGATATAAACACTTTGAAAATGTTTGATAATGTTTCTCGATAACGGTTCTGTTAACGGTAATTTTAAAATCTTTCTGGTACGTGATCAGATTCCAGTGTTGACACTGATGGTGCTTCTGTACTCTAATGAACTTTTTGACGGTAGGTCCGTAAGGATCCAAGTTGGGGACGCGACATGTCTCCTTAGTGACAGGGAAGACAGGGGAGGCGTCATTGCTAGCAGTAACATTACGCACCATGGATTTCACTTTGACCGAGACAATATCTGTATTGGTTTGTCTCTGGTTCGCAGGCAGAATATGTGTATGTCCTTGGTACATGTACATTACAAACGTTAGCAAGCTTCCAGTTAGTGTGACGTAGCCAAACAAACGGGTTCTTGATTTCGAACACGCCATCTTCAAAGTCAGTTTTACTGAAAAGAAACAAATTAAAATATATTAAATGCATTTTAAAGGCAAAAAACATGTATGTTCTCGTATTTTTTCATAATTGTTTTGAATATTCCAAATATTAAATTTCCACAGTCATTTTTTGTTATAGATATGTGTATATACTTATATATACATTGCTTGTAAGTGTAGATATACATATTCATATATAAATACTTTGATAGGGGCTGCCAGTATTATGATACTGGTGTCCTCACACAGGAGGGTTCTTATTTAACATAAATCATCCACTCTCTTCTGAATTTAGTTGATACTATAATGTTTCCATGATACATATTTGTACCGATTAGAAAAATAGGGAGACTGATTGGAAATAAAACATTTGCAATGGAACACAGGACAAGAACACAGAAATACTTCCTTAAAATCATATATAATATACAACATTTAATATGGCGCCCTATCTAGACAACATACGCCACTCTAAAGCGCTTTACAGTACATAGATATACAATTAATACAATTAGCGTAAACTCCACATACAAAATGATATCATAAACACTCATTTTTTTTAAAAAATAGACAGAATACTAGTGTACACGATTACATAATACACATGTTGATCTACACCTACACACATACACCCATACATACGTACACACATACAAACTAAATCGAACGTACGAACAGACTGACAGACAAACAGACAGACAGACAGACAGCTAAATATTCTCGAATATTCGAGGAGTCAACAAAAAACCCCAGACTTATCTAGACTTTACTTCTGTGCAAACCCGTCTAAACGACAACATAATTCTAAGTTAAATATCAACATCTTTCGTTTAAGTTTTTAATATCATAACAGTGAATCGACGTAAGTGTGAAAACAGCAACATTATGGCATGGTGCGGCGTCCGTCGCCCGTCCGTCGTCCATCCGTCGTCCGGCGTCAACTTTTTACTTTAAACAACTTCTTCACAGTAACCAAAAGGCCTAGGGTGATGATATTTGGCCAGAAGCATGCTGGCATGAAGGGCTACCAAGTTTGTCCAAATAAATGACCTTCATCAATTTTCAAGGTCATATATTAAAAATGGCTGCCATGTAAGACACACACACATGTTGGTGCTCTGACAAAAAAAGGATAAACTTATGCTGTTATTTACTAGCTACAGTGCTAACTTTTGGCAGAAATGTGTGTAAGTATTATGCCTACACATTGACTGGAAAAATAATTGGGAAAAATATCAACTTTGACAGATTTTGATATTTACATGTTTTGGACATTCTGGTGGAGTAAGTAGTATTCACATACCTGAGGTGGTTTCCCTGTATAGAGTGTTGGGGCATACCTGGACACCCGGCCAGTGAACACTACTTTGTACAACTCTGTATACTGGAGGACACATATTTCTTACAAAATGTCATCAGGAAAATTAACCTCATAAGTAAAACCTGCAACAGCAGCACGAGGTGACTCAAGTGCAAGAACGACGAGGAGTACCTCAAATGTTGAAGGGGTGGAAAATAGTGGAATGACAGAATTACGACAGAAGTTGACAGAGATAAAAGACACATTGTGCTCTATACTAAGTAAGAAAGACATCAAAGACCTGGTCACATAAATTGTTACATCTATTTTGGCTACCATTAAGAATGACATGTCCACACAAATTGAGGAGGAGGTATCACGGAAAACAGCTACGATGAGACAGGAGCTTGACTCGATGAACTTGCATAATCATAGACTACAGGAGTCAGTTCAATGTAAAGAAAAGAAAATCACAGAACTAGAAAATGGGATGGATGAGATGAAGAAGGAAATGGTAGACGCACAGAGGGATGTCGCACATAACAGAGATCTTTGCATGGAGGGACTAAGAATGGCAAATTAAAATGAACAATATAGTCGACGAAACAACATTAAGGTATTTGGCATGAAGGAACTGGGGGAGGAGGCAGAAAAAATAGAGACCTAACACAGGTCTTCTTTGATATTGTAAATAAAAAGGAGGGCATCAACATCAGTCCACAAGACATTTTAGCTGCACACAGAGTACCCAAAAAATCACTGGATGGGCCGAGGCCGATAATTGTGAAATTCCTGAGGAAAAATGTACGAAGGCAGGTGATGATGAAGCGAAAGGAGCTAAATGTGAGGTGTACAGACGATGTGACAAGTAGGAATGTGGGACTTATAAAGAGACTAGAAAAAAACAGAGACGTAGAGAAGGCCTGGTACTTTAATGGTAGTGTGTTTGCCAAAGTTGGAAACCTGACAACGAAAGTGAATCTTTTTGACAATGTTCATGAAGTGTTTGTGGACAAAACAGGAAATGGACAAAATAAAAGGTAAACATTTCACCTTATATTGCTACAGGGCAAAAGAAAAAACCAAAAACATTGATCTCTGACATATATCATACTAATGTAGCGTAATATTCAATTATGTTGATTGAATTTCTTGATTGATATAATTGCTGCATTTATATGTGCTTCATAAGCAAACAAACATGTACTATGTGCATAATATAAACTTGGTCATTTTTGGATAGAGTGCTTGCATGTAGCTGTGCTTACACTTTTTGGTATCTGTATGTTGGTGTGTGTGTTTGAGAGTGCTCGCATACCAGTGCATGTACTTCATTATTCAACATATTTTCAAATATCTGAAAGTAAAAACCCAATCTGCCATGTTAGATAATAATAATTTTTCATTAAAAATCAGCCATTAATAAATGAGATATGGCACTGAAGATGTCTATGTACACACCTGAAATATAACAAATAGGAAAGAAATGTGGTGTATGGAATAAAGGGTGTGTACAGAAAATAAAAAAAAAACCACATAATAATACTCAGGTACACTAAGTCGTTTGTTTTGTGATTATGCTGATACTCAGATTTGAGAATATAATGTATTATTATAGTCATTGCATTTTCAACCATATTCTTATTTATTTTGAGATATCTACAATGGAGAAGTGGAATCATATTTGTTCATTTGTATACATGGCTGCTCATGTGCACACGTACATGTGTACACATACCTATATACATGTAGTGTACATGTGCTACATGTACACCTGTATTTGTTTACGGACATGTTTACATGAGTGAGCTATATACCTATGTATAGTGTTAGAATAATAATGGTTGATTACTAACAACACGTGTATATATGTATATAAATGCTTGTTTGTATGTGTGTGTCTGTATGCATGTGTACATGTACACATGTTATATGTACACCTGTATTACCGGTAGTTCGATATATGGGATGGGAGCATGCATAAGTATAAATGTGTGGCTGGACTTGTGTCAATAGGTCAAATGTAAAAAGAGCAAGAGTACATGTTCATGGCTAATAGGTAATTATACACATGTGAACAAGAGCAGTATATGTGTTTGTTAATAAAAAAATATATCCTTGTATAATTCTGTTTTTGTGGGGGAGTGTTCGTACGCATGTGTACATATGATGTACACATACTATGTACACCTGTAATGTATCTGCGGATGGGTATGCATATGTACACATAGTTTACTTATCTGTCAATGTAAGAAGGTAATTACATGTATTTAAATTGATAGAGGTGTAGTTGATCGCTTATACTGGTGTTTATTGCTATATATATAGCTAATAGGTATGTATATTTACACATATGTGTACGTGTGTAACTACGTACTAACCTGTTTATGAATAAAATATAAACACAGTATGGATATATATATAAGGTCATATATGATGTACATATTTGTTATTCATTTGTAGACTGTAATATGTAATTGCAGGCATGCCACATGGGTTCATATATGTAAAATAAGATTAACATTTCAATATCATCAGGACTATATACAAACAATATCATGTGTAGCCAGTGAGTAGATATTTGTGTGTATCTTCTTCACACATGAATTAATAGAGTTGATATATGTATGATCTGTAAAAGCAGGTTCACATGTGCATATGGATATGGTTGGATCTATATGTATACAGGTAAAATGTAATAAGAGTGCATGTAAGTTGTAATTATTTAAATGTATGGTAAATAGATGTAAGAGGGTAGGTGTATGTACACATGTGTATATATATGTAGCCTGATCTTTGTAAATACTTTTAGGTATAAAGCGTACGTGTCAATTAACTTTTACCAGATAACTGTCTAAAAGGTAATTACACACATGTACACTATTGTCATGTTCATGTAACAATGTATTTTATTATTCTTATAATAAAAATACTGGAGCTTAGTGTAATATATACAATTGTTGTCAGAGCACCACACATGTTCTATCCCATGAGTAAGAATATGTGTGTTGCCAATACGCTATTTTTTCTCGCATCAAATTCATTTTATGTATTTTTTGTGTCTCTGTCTCTTGTAGGTACTTCTTGTACCAATGTTGTTTTGTTTTTGTTCTTTATATTTGTAGGTGTGTATATTTTTGTAACCATCTTGAAAGGTAGGAGTCTTAGTGTGAGTAATAATTTTTCCTTTTTGAGCCTTGGTCGTAGAAAGAACTAGAGTATTGTCCTTGAATTGTCAAGGTTTGGGTGATATCAATAAGCGTAAGGAGGTATTTTCATACCTGAGAACAAAACAATATAATATCTACTGTATTCAATATACACATTTCACAGAAAAAACAGAAAAATTGATTAGGGCAGAATGGGGATTTCACTGTTATTTTAATTCTTAAAAGTCTAATTCTAGAGGGGTAGCCTATTACTTAATAATAACTTTGATGTGAAAGTAACAAGAGAGAAACAGGATTTTTCAGGAAATTTTCTTGCATTAGATTTAGAGGTAGAAGGCTAAAGATAACACTGATTACATTATATGGTCCAAATATTGATACCCCAGTTTTTTATGATAAAATAGCAGAAACAATAAATGAATTTAATAATGAGTGTTTTCTCATATGTGGAGATTTTAATTTAGTACTTAATCCAAGAAAAGACTACGATGAAAATTACAGACAAATAAATAATCCTGAATCTAGAGATAAACTTCAGGAA